CTGCATAAAGGACTGAACCACATTGCTTTTTTGCAGTGTGTTGCTTTCTTATTTCATTGATGTAATGCTTATTTGTGAATCAGCCAGGGGCCATGTGAAATTTTGCCAGTGGCCACATGTGGAAAATCACTATCCTGTAAATTCAAGCGATGATCAAGCTGTGAGACTCAGGCACCTTGCTGTTATGGAAGGGCAGGGTTCTTAGCAGATACAGTAACCCTTCAGGACAAAGAGTGTTGAAGCTTTGGCTTCTGTTACACACCCATGCACTCTAAATTTGAAGCCAGCAGTGCTGGTATAGCTGAAGTGATGTGAGAACACCCCTTGCACACCAAGCTTCAGGTTAATTTGGCAAAAGTAGTATTGGGCAGAGCCTGTTGGAACCATGATATTTGCACTGCAATTCATCCATCAGCACCTCAGGAACATGGAAGGATGAAGGCATCTTTCTCATTCAGAGCCCTCTGACCATAGATCTTTATGAAGAAATGTTTGGCAGCTCAGCTGAGAAGCCGGGTTTTTATTTTAACCTTTAAGAATGACGCCAATTTCACAGCTGTTAATGGTATGTGGAACTGACTCTTTCCAATGCAAATTATCCATCAAGGGCTAAATGCTTGGAGGGAGAAATCTCCATATTAATGTGCTGGTATCTTTGTCCATAAGTATCTAATTTTATGCCTTAATCAGATCACCTCCTTTTTCTGATTAAAATGCTTCTTAAAGAAAAAAAATATGATTTGGATATACATTGGGAGCTATTGGCCTCTGAGATTTTGGAAACAGGAGTGGAAATGTGGATTTTGCTAAGAAAACGAAGGGGAAATGTTGCCAGCTCAAGTGGATCCCCAGCCAGTATGGCTAGTGATCAGCAGTGATCCTATCCCTGTGTTCTCATATATACTGGATTCCATTCTCTCTCCTCCACCTCAACAAAATGATTTCCACAACAAGTTGTCCTAAACTCTTTTAAGAAGAAGGTGTGTGGCCTAGCAGCCTAACTTGAAACACCCACCCACCCCAAATAAGGACATCAGAACTGAGCATTGATCTCTACGTTAATAATAAGAATCCATCTCCCTACCCCCAAAAGACCCACAATAGATAAAAGAGATCACACTGAAAGATAAATGTAATCTTTTATTATCCCTCTTCAGACTTCCAAGATGCTTTGATGCTTTGTTAGGGGGCTCACATTGCCTACCCCCCCTGCCCCCCCCCCCACATTTGTTTGCTTTCAGGACAGCCTTGCATGCTGCAAAACGTGGCCCTGGCCAGCCAAGAAATTAGTTTTTCAAGGGGCACCCTATACTTGGGTGGGGGCACTTAGGCCAGGGCCTCAAATGCAGCGCTCTGGGCCTCTCTGTCTGGCCCCTTGGATCACCCCCAGGCCACACCACTCCCTGCTCTACTTTCTCTCTTCCCTCCATCTAGAAAAGCAAGAAACATTCTCACAGTTCAAGGACACATCCCACCCAGGCAAATGCACTTGAGTGTCTTGCCCTGACTGGAATGTGTCTCAGAACTCTGATACAGTAACCCCTTTCGCTTGCCTGGATGGAGAATAGTGATGGGTGTGTGAGCATGTCTAAAAACTAGCCTCTTGTACAGAAGCAAATACTTGCATTAATTTCTCTGCCCACTTTGGCTTGGCCCCATCTACTGCTTGACTTACGGCCCCTGGAATGGCAACATATATGAGGCCACAAGCTAGCTACCCATCATCTAGGTGGTCAAGCCAGCCATGCAAAGGGTGCGCATGAGAAGGGTGCAGGGGGGTCTGTCCTAAGGAATCCCCAATGTTATGGAGCTCCACATTTGAGGGGGGGAGAACAGGCCTGAAGCTCCCCCCTCCCTGTTTTGTAGATTTAACAAAAATCTGGGACACGTGTGAAATATATACTTCACCTTTGGCTAATGAGTTCTATGCCTACACCGCCAACATTTCACAGAAAGAGGGAGGGCTGGCCCACCCATGAGGTGAGGTAAAAGCACCTGCCTTGGGCAGTGTCAGCTCCAGAGGCAGAGCCCCCGCGGGTGCCCTGCCCACTCTACCACCTTTACAGTTGGTGGAGAAGTCATGCCAGAACCTGCCGGGATGCTTCAGTGGAGGCAGCACAGCAGGGGCAGGGTGGGGCAGGGCAGGGCAGCACTTCCCATTCCACCCCAGTGAGTTATGCTTTTGACACGCTTATTGTTTTTCTGTGATCACTGTCCAAGCTCTACACCCCACCATTCCATACTCCATGGATGGGGAATCCATTGACCTCCAGGCTTGCTGGACTCTAGCTTCTATCATTCCTGATTATTGCAGCTGTGGCTGATGAAGGTTGGAGTTCAATAACACATGAAGGTCCATGGGTTCTCCTCATCTCTGCTCTATCCCATTCGCTGTGCACTATATTCGCACATAGGTTCTCTTGGTTAAATATATGCTAAGAAGCCATCATTGTCCTATGATGCGTTCCCCATAGTGGCAATATGGGAAACGGCAGGCTGAGCACTGCCTTAGTGTTCATCAACCTTCGTTGTTTCAAATGTGCACTGGAGACAAGATGCACTGGATTTCTGCATGTAGTGTGGATGCTCTGCCACTAAGTGACAGTCCTTCCCCCAGAAGAAGAGTCAGGTGTATCTCCTTCCAATGTATTGTTGAGTAACTGATCAGTTAACTCTGGATAGATAAGAAAAGGGCTAGATTTCTCAAAACGAATGGCTATTCCACTATTATAGAGCATGGACTGCTGGATAGCTCAATTGGTACAGCATGCAACTTTTAATCTCAGGGTCGTGGGTTTGAGCCCCACATTGGGCGAAGATTCCTGAATTGCAGGGGGTTGGGCTAGATGATCCTTGGAGCCCCTTCAAACTCTATGATTGTATGATTCCATTTTTCAGCAGATGGAATGCAGCTGAAATACATGGAACCTGACCTTATTAACTCACCTGCATCTGTGGGATTTCTCCAATCAGTTTACACTCCCTGCACTTACCCACCTATCCAAATCAACACAAGCAGTCAAATTGTCATTACCATGGAAACAAAATCAGATTCAACAGTAGCATCTTATTGCATCATGTTTCTTTGTGTTCTGGAATTTGTGTAGTAGTGAGATGGGGGAGCCACAATTGACAATTATTATTTTAATCTACCCACCTAGCAGGTTCCTAAGTTCATTGGCATGCATGTCATGGTGATCTCCAGGCTATTTGGCAGAGTCTTAACTATTTGAAATAATTTTCTTTCTTTTTTTACAAAAACTATCTTTGGGGGACATTTTATACAAGGGAATTTAGGGAGCTGCCTTACACTGAGTCAGACCATTGATCCATCTACCTCATTGTTGTCAACACTGACGGGTAGAGACTCTCCAGGGTTTCTCCCAGCCCTCCGTGGAGATGCCTAGAAGTGAATCAGGTTCCTTTTGCAGGCACCTGCTCTACTACTACAGGTAGACTACCACCCTTTCCTTGATTTTGTGAATTTTGTTCAAGTCTTGGCAGTGCCTTACACTGCTATGGCAATTCTCCCTGGAAATGCACTGCCACCACACACAACTGTTTGGGGCAGCCTACACGTAAGAGCTGCAATGTGTACAGCAGGTATCTGCATAAAGAGACAGAAGGCTGGTTCAGGCATATATGTTCCCTGCTTGATGACTACAAAAATCAAGGAATGATTTAACGGGCCATCACAGGTAGCACACACTGCAGAGAGAACTTCCATATCACTGCAGAGAAAATGATTTTCAGTGTACAGACATTCCATCATCAGTCATCAAGGGTTGCTGGTTCATACATGCATGTTCATCAGCTGATCACTGCAGTATCAAGCAATCATCTGTATGTGTGGAATTGATGGAACATCACAGATCGAACTTTTGCAGCTCCTCAAGTGCAATGGAATCAACCCACACAATCCACTGACATCAATCTGATGATGCATGCATGGAAAGCTGTATCACATTGTTTGTTCATCTGGCCCCGGTGTGGGGAACTTTTGACCCTGAACTTCAACTCCCATCATGCCTAGCCTTAGGTCACACTTGCTAGGGCTAATGGGAGTTCTATTTCAAAAACATCTAGTGGAGATGTTGGGGGACTGAATAGGGACAGGGCATTGCAGTGTATATGATACACTTTGGACACTTGTCTGAAGCATTAGACATAGGAAGCTGCCTTACACCGAGCTAGGACCAGAACCACAGCAAAGTGGTGCGACCCACCCCTAAGTCGGACAGCTGCTCCAGAGGATACCATGGTTGATGGTACTGAAAGCTGCTGAGTCATTGAGGAGAATTAACAGGGACACATTTCCCCCGTCACAGAAGTCATCACACAGGGTGCCCAAAGCAGTTTCTGTGCCAACACCAGCCCTTAATGGATCTAGAAAACCAGTTTCCTCCAAGAGTGCCTGAATCTGGTCCATAACTACCTTGCCCAAAAATGGAAGATTGACAGGTGTGGTGAGTGGTAAGAGTGTTGAACTAGGAACTGGGAGATGAGGGTTCAGATTCCCACTGGACCATGATGCTCACTGGGTGACCCCGGGCCCCAGCTGCTGTCTCTCAGCCTAACCTCCCTCATTGTTTGTGAGGATAATATTGGGACCCATGTGCCCCACCTTCAGGAAAGGTGAGATAGAAATGGAGCCACAAGGTAGTTTACTGTTGTTATGAATTTGTTGGGCTTTAGAGCCACTCAGTTCATAGCTTGCAGCTTGAGTTAAATTCTTCCCCCAACCACCCCATCAAATGAAAATTCATGCTCCTTCTTTTCTTTTGGTTAATATTCCTCTTTGGCAGGTTCTTTTAATGGGCTGGAAAAAATTCTTCCTATGAAGTTCCAGGCTTCCTGTGCTTGAATGAGCACAGCTCCCCATTGGCTGCCCACCGCGTCTCCTGATTGGCTCTTGAACTTGGAGGTAGGGGTGGGGAGGGGGAAGGAACCTCTCAGGGTGGCTATAAAAACTCCAGGTTGGTCACCTGCAGCGAGGAGGAGTGGGAGTCCAAGGGGCGACGGAGAGCAGCGGCTTTTGCGGACTCGGCGCGTCACTCCATCGGTTGCTCCTTTCTCAAGCCCCGTCCGGCTCCGCGTCTTCGCTCCAGCTCGAGAGAAAGCGAGAGAAGCCGAAGCGAGAACTTAGCGGAAACTTAGCAGAGAATGCTCCGAAAGTCGGCGGTCCTGCTGCTGCTGGCGGCCGCTGCTGCTGCGACTTACGAAGTGGAGCAGAATGACTCCTTCAGCCCCAGGAAGGCCAGGCTGGCCGCGCAAAATTCAGGTACCCTCTTTCTCCTTTGCAGGCAGGAGCCCGTGCAGACAGCTGTTGCGGCTCACTTTGGCCGCAAACGCAGGCGGGAAGTTCTCCTGCGCAAGCCGCTGCCCCACTGAAAGAAAGGACGGGAGCTGTGTGCAGGAGGGGAGCTTGCGCAGGAGAACTTTACGCTGCGTTAATATGCCTCCTGCTTCTCTCCTTCTCTTTCTGCCGCTGTGCCACAGCCGAATGAATGGGAGGAGAGCGCTCGCTCGCTCGTTTCAGGAGCTGGTGTAGTGATCCTAAACATAGGCGCCGACTCCATGGGGCCTGAGGGGGCTCGAGCCCCCTCAAAAAAATTTTTTGGGGGGCTCAGCCCCCCCAATAATCTCGGGCGCCCTTCCAGCAGAGCGCCGCCGCCGTCCCCCGCCTCCTCCCCACCTGCTCCCTCGCCAGCCAGCCAGCCAGCCGCGCGCCCTAGTCGGAGAGCCCCGGCCGTCCCCCGCGAGATTAGGGAATCCCCGGGGGCGGGGGCTCCTCCCTCGCTGCTTCGCAGCACCACCGCCACTGCCAAGGCACTGCCGGGGGGAATTTCCTTCCTCCTGGCGGTTTCAGCCCCCGCGAGAACAGGGGAATCCCGACTGGCCACACCTCCCAGCCAGCCAATCGGCTGGCTGGGGGGCGTGGCTTGCCCTATTTAGGGCCGGAGCCACTTTATTTGCATATTCATGAGCTTATTTATAATTCATGAGCTTTCCCGGGCCCCCCCAATATTTTTTATAAGTCCACGTCCCTGATCCTAAATGCGGGGCAGTATTCGAGGTGGTTCACACTGCGCCGTCCGCTTCAGCCACGGCGGAGACCTCCAGTCTTCTTGGAGAACTGAACTGAAGCAGAATGGCTCACCAATCTCCAAGTTAAGCACCATTCCCTAGCACTTCATGCCTCTGATGAATTGCGCCTCGCCCCCAAAACAGCTTCTGCTAGAAATAAATTGGCTGGTCTTCAAGGTGCCCCGAGACTTTTCGTGATGTTAGCTGCAGCAGATTAACAGAGCTAACCTACTACTCTGGAAATAGAAAGATGGTGTGTGGCTGTGTATGCACCATATACTTAAGGCGTTCTCCCTGCCCTCCCCCCGAAAAAAGAACCCTGAGAACCGTAGTTTGTTCGGGGTACTGGGAACTGTAGCTCTGTGAGGGGAAAACTACAGTTCCTAAGATTCTTTGGGGGTGATGTGGTTTACATGTGTTTTAAGTGGATGGTGTGTATGGAGCCTTAATAGCTGTACAGGGAACAGAGTACCCCATGTAAGTACCTACATCTGAAAATCTACACCTTCCCTTTCTGGCTTCTAACTTTTAATCCTCCCTTGCTCTACAGTCAAATCAGGAATTCTCATGTTGCGTGTTACCAATACACAGTCTTAAACCAAGTTAGTTCCATTTGAGAAATGGGCTGTATATGTTTTGCTGACTTACCCATTGCTGCAAGTAATCCTAAAACTAAACACTTTTGAAAAGGCTAAGTTGTTGGCTGCTGCTTATGCTTCCAGCGCTGGCAGGCATCACTTGCACCCATTTAAAATAAAGACATTTATACTCCTCTGATTTGACACTTGCCAAGAGAGGCTGCTATTTCAGATCTGCAAGACTCTGCAGCACAGTTCTAGGGTATTTGCTCAATTTCCTTTTGTACTTGGTTGCTATAGAAACAAAGGGTCTCAGTTATTCCACTGTGCCTAAAACAATAAGAGCCCTAATACATATTAAACATGCTAAGTGCCAAGTTATAACCTGAATCTATGGAAACATATTGTTATAAAATGAGTTGTTTTATTCATTCATTCATTCATTTATTAAATTTCTATGCCACCCTTCATCCAAAGATCACAGGGCAGTTTGCAATATAAAAACACAAAAATGCAAAACATAGTAACAAATAATAAGCCCCACACACAGGGTATTTATTTCTGAGGATAGTTAGGGATGGTTTGCAGAGAGCTTTGTCTTATCAAATAGTTCTTTTTCCTTGCATATAAGTTAGCATTGAAACATGCAGTGTTCTCATTTAAAAGGTACCCACGGCAAGATGCTACACTTGACTAGAAATTAACGAGCTTTTTCACTAGGTTTCTAGAACTACTGTCTAAAATCCTCTGCTTCCCTGAGAAATAGCATCCCAATTTTTTAAAAGTCCTGGTTTGCACATCATTCCTAACATATGAAACATGATCAGGCAAAAAGTAACAGATCTCCCTTTGCATGACTGAGTAGAAATTCAGCTTGGAGAAAAATGTTATACCAATTTACCTGCAGGCAGGGGAGAAATCTGGTGGATTGTCAGCCAGCTTCTGGAAGAAAATTGTCCTGCTGACATATTTAAATAGTTCAGCCTTGTGCACAAACTCTGGCGGCTCTTCCTAAGTTCTTTATGCTGCTCTACTCGCCTCCATGAGCTTAACTACTGGGCTTTAACTACATTTACTGCATTACTCTACTAATTTTCCATCAAGGAGCTCAAGGGGATTACATGATTTTCTCCCTGTACATTCCATCTAATCCCCTTCAACAACCCTGTACGGTAGGTTATGCCCAGAAATCACTAGCCCAAGGTCACTAAGTCAGTTGTATGGCTGAGTAGGGATTTAAAACTGGGGTCACCTCAATCCTAGTCTGACACTTCAACCATTTCACCACCGTGACTGTCTGCAAAATCTTAACTGGAGCCTTATACTCAACTTTGTGGGATTAGAAAGTCTGTATTAGTGACAGCTTTTCAAACTGGAGTTGAAAGATAAAGAAACATTTGTCCAAAATGCTTATAGTGATAAGGTAAGGTTAGACTCTGGGTTTATGGGCCCCCTTCAAATGAGAATTTAAATAATAATTACTATCAAATGTGGCAAGCCAGCTCATCCCATCAAATGGGGCCCTGCCTTTTTGCTTCAAAGTCCTTTCCTGGTGGCACCATTGGGTCCTTATTTAAGCAGATGGACATGTTCACAGTGCATCCATTCAAACATCCAACATGATTTGGAAGCGTCAGATCCTGCTGCTGCTTCAACAACTTCTCTACGTGGCTGATGAAGGTGAGCACCTGCTATGAGCCCATGTGCTGGTCCACTGCTCTTGGCCACTGAGCATCCTAAGGCAATGGTAATTTGCCTCTTTCTACAGTATATCCTCATCCCATGCTTCTTCCAGCTGTGCACTGCAACGCTCAGCTGCCAATTCCATGACACCTCCACATAGAAAGCAAACAACACAATGAGTGTAGAATGCATTATCTATTTTTAAATGTAAGGGACTGCAGTTTCCTATATTTAAACTGTTTTAGTGTGTCACACCAGAAGCACGGGATGCTCAATTTTGGAACAGAAAGGATAGTTGTGCAAATTGACCCCCTTCTGTAGTGATTCTTTAGGCTAAGTTATAAAGTTTATACCATAATACAGCTGTTTTAGATGGGAGGTTTGGGGCATCATTAAGGGTGGCTGAATTTAAAGCAGGTGGAAATGTCCAACGGGGCATCATCCATTAGGAAGTTCTCCTGAACAAAAATAGACAAATCCTTCCCACCCCACTAAAAGATGAGCACTAAAGGGTCAGAAAACATAACACTACTGGCTCAATTAGCAATTGGAAGCCTGGGTAAGTAAGAATCATAGAATCTTCGGGTTGGAAGGGACTCAAGGGACCCCCTGCAATACAGGAAATGTTTCAGCCTGGTGCCAAAAAGCAGGCAATGATGGCACCATGTGCCCTTCTCTGGGGAGAGCATTCACATCAAGGTAGTCTGGGTCCCACATAGGCAAAGTAGCTCCTCTCCCTAGATGAACCCCTTGCTCATTAAGGTTAGTGATAAAGGCCCCTTGGAGCATCAGCCCATTGTTGGCAAGGTGAGGAATGAGGCCACAGTTCCTCCAGAATTACCTTCAAGTGATGCCCAACACTTTGTGTCGGTACATGCTTTCAGGAGGTGAGTTAAGGCGCCTTCTTGTAGTGTTCTGTAAGAGTTGGAGTGCCATCAGGTGTGGCTTAGGTTCTGTGATGGTTTTTATTTTATTTTTTCTATGCATCTCAGAGGTAATCCTGGTTTTTACAAAGAGCAGGGTGATGATTTATTACTTACACCCCCTGCCCATCCAACCAGGTTGCCCTAGTCAGGATATACATATTTGACAGTACTTAACAGTCCCCAAATGGAGGAGAAATTAACTTCAGTTTACATATAAAGGCAAAGCTACCCAGTACTTACTTTCCGAAACATTATTCAAACTAGAGCACAGCCGTCCTTCAGAATTTGCACTTCTCCAAACTTTGCAATGCAGTGTTCTCCAGCACGTGATGTGCATGAGAATGTACCTAATACAGTGTGCATATAAGTGTATATATTGGTGAAAATTGCTTTGCAAACTGAATTTATTGAGCAAAATCATGTCTAAAATATGCATAGGAAAACTTGGCACAAGAAATACTGACTTAATTTCAAACTGATGTGTAAATGTGGAGAACTGAACTTAAGGTTGGAAAAATGAGAAACCAAAATTAGCACAGTCATGCACTGCTACCCAGAAACAGAAGAGGGACAGCACAGCACTGTAGCATGGGCTCAGAAACTCTTTTCCAATCAAGCATTCCATAGAAACATGCCCATTATGTATCCATTGCAGCCACACCTTTAGTCCGTAAAATGCTAGGTATTCCTCTGCGCCTCTTGGCATCCTATCCTTGAAAAGTTTACTGACTTGCCACCCAGAATTTTAGCAATAATTCAAAAATGCTTTTTCTACAAATAATCTCTCCCTTGTCTGTATGTTGACTTGGAATGGGAAATTACCATTACCATATACATGCAGAAACACACTCACGCTACATAATCAGAGTTTAAAAATTGGAATGAAGTTGGAAGCCAGCAGTCCCATACATGTCTACTCAAATGCAAGCCCAATTAAATTAAATGTAACTTATTCCCTGGTAAATGGGCCTAGGATTACAGCCTCAGTGAGCATAATGGTCATGTGTGTCTTTTTAACTGATGAAGCCCATAGTTCATAAACTCAACCCAAAACTCATTGAGTGGCCTTAAGCAAGCCATTATAGAATGATAAGGAGTAAGGAATGGGATCTGGCAGGCAGGTAGGCATGGTCCTTCTATCCCCACCCCCTTCATGCCAAGCTTGACAGGGAGTGGGGTCACCTATTTGTCAACCACATTGGGGCACATCGAACCTCTATTTTTGGCTGCAGGGGTTGAAATCAAACTGTGCAGGCAAAGGCACAGTGCTATTCAAGCCCTGGTGGTCAACTGGTAAGCAGTGCTGGCAAACCCCATTTTGGTGCAGTTGAGTCTTTACTCACCCCACATATATGACGTCAGATCTAGGGCAGGTAGGTGTGGCTTGGCCAAATGAGGAGGACTGGCAAGGACTTTTTAGGCCTGTGGGGTGGCATTTCCCCACTCCTGACTTAAGGATTTGTGATGGTTGCATTGGAGTGAGAGCCTGGGTGGGCCAAAGTGTCCTTTGGCACCTCCTCTCTCAAAATTGACATCATACGCAGCCCCTTTCCCTGGCTGCTTCTCGAGGGGAGGTGAGACAGCGACACCCACTCAAGCAGCTCAGCTGGAATGAACTGCCATTTGGCTGCTCATCCACCCCATAAGTGTCTTGCAGTGGCCATGACAACCCAACTTTGCCTTTTCCCTCCTCCCTACCTGTCTGTCTTTGCATTGCAATGGCTGCTAAACTGTGAACTGTTAAAATAAAATGTGAAGCTTCTTAGCTGCATTGGCAGTAAGCTGATATATCAAACTAGCAATGTCTGGAATTAGCACTTTGGGAAGGGTGTTTCTGTACATACTAACCATTTTGAATGTGCAGTTGTAATAGCCCCGAAGTCTGACATTCATTGCTTGTTGGAGATTGTGTCGCATTGCAGGACTGTAACTATGTGCTTGTTTCTTCCTGCTTTGTAAAATTGGGTTACATTGCTACAAACAGTGGACTTATGCTATGGTTCTTGTTGCAATAAAAATGTTTTGCTATGTTAATAGTGACACACACACAAACACAAACACACAAACTCCTCTCCACCATTCTCACTATGGCACTCGTGTGGAAGGGTGAGATGGGAAGGTTCATCTAATGCAGCCTTTTCCAGCTTGGTTGAACTACATCAGGCATGGCCAAACTTGGCCCTCCAGATGTTTTGGGACTACAATTCCCATCATCCCTGACCACTGGACATGTTAACTAGGGATGATGGGAGTTGTAGTCTCAAAACATCTGGAGGGCCAAGTTTGGCCAAGCCTGAACTACAGTTTCCATCATCACTGACTGGTGGGCTGACTGGGGCTTGTAGTCCAAAACAGCTGGAAGGCACCAGTTTGGGAGTGACAAATCAAATGTTTATAAAGTGGCATCATAACTGGGTTGGAGGCTTCTCGGCTTGGTTTGTAAAATGAAAGCACCAGAAACTTTTGTTTTCTTGGCAGTCATGCTTTCCAATTTGGAGTCCCTAAAACCAGTGATGCTATGAGGGCTGGACTTCAGGGCAGAAATCCACCTCACCAAAATGAACAGGAAGACCTCCAAATGCAGCATGTCTGACTTACTGTGTTTGTGATGAATAGGCAGCAGTGCCTTCAGGAACTTAGTTTAGTGCCTGTCACCTGTGGTTCAACTGTCCAATTTTGCACTAAGACTTTCTGGGATGGTGTCCTCCTGGTCTATTTCACACACAAAAAAGGCTTGATGCAGAAAATGTACTCTCCAAGGTGCTGGAAGCTGACTCTTGCAGCAGAAATGCATTTGAGGTGTGGTGGCTTAGCTGTGGGTGCTTGTTAAAGGTGATGTGTAGAATATGCACACTCCAAGAGGAAAGCAATGACTTAACAATTGCTGACAAATGCCTTCAATTGAGTTGAAAGCTGCTATGGAAACATGAGGCATGGCAGAAGTCTGTATTAAGATGGACTCTCCTTCTCTCTACCCCTTCTCTTTTGCAGCGGATGTGGTGCGGTGTTTAAATAGTGCTCTCCAAGTAGGGTGTGGTGCTTTTGCCTGCCTGGAAAATTCTACATGTGACACAGGCGGCATGTATGACATCTGCAAATCCTTTCTCTACAGTGCAGCTAAATTTGACACTCAGGTACAGTATCAGCCTAACCCCTTTTCCCTTGCAGCTTCCTTGCTGATGGACAGGAGGAGAAGGGCCAGGGCTCCATGGTGGTGCAATGCTTTCCATGCAAAAGGCATCTCCACTTAGAGATAGGAAAGTCTCCTGTCTGAAACCCTTGAGAGTCTCTGCCAGATCAGTGGGTGGAGAACAGCTGGTCCTCCAGATGTTGGTGGACTCCAGCTCCTATCAGCCTCATCCAATATAGTCAATGTTCAGGGATGGTGGGAGTTGTAGCCCAGCAACAGCTGAAAGGCCACTGGTTCCTGTTGGTGTAGGTACTATTGAGCTATATGAGCCAGGGGTCTGAGTAGGAGGCAGCTTTCTTTGACTCATATATGCCCAGGGGTGAGACGCTGCTGCAACCAATACTATTGTATTGTACATAAGTTATCAGAATTCACCTGTCTTCATATAGTGCAACTGATGGAGAGTGGACTTGGCTTGGCTGAGACAGCCTTACAGGCCAAACAGGGAGGCCTCAGTGGCCTAAACTGGTTTTGGGCTGGAGCTTCCCAACCCCTGTCTTACAACAACTGCAGATATCAAATGCAATCTTAAAAAGAAGCATTCTCTTATTCCACAGAAGGAAATGCTTCTTCTAAGATGCTGGTTGCTGTGATGCATGTGTGTATCCTCTTAAAATGAAGTGTCTTGTTTTCTTTAAAACAGGGATAGTGGAACCTTTGGCCCTCTAGATGATGTTGGTGTCAACTTCCCTTGGCCCCAGCCAACATGGCCCACTACTGGGGATACATATATAATTTTATTTGTATATGGCCCATTTTGTTCTTAAGCCTGGTGGAATCCCAGCTATTTGAACAAATAAGGGTTGTAGCTCACTGGCAGATAACTTCCCAAAAGTCCAAGGTTTAGTCCCTGTTATCTCCAGGTAGACCTGGGGAAGACTCCAGCCTGAAGTTCTGGAAAGCCACTGCTGGCCAGTTATCAATGATACTGAGCTGCAGCAAAGCTGCTGATTGCATGAAGAGCTTCTGAATTGTCCTTTGTCCCTTAAGCACCTATATTTTAAGTAGCTGCAGATATGTCGGGTGCTTCATTTGCTGCAAATATGTGATAACTTATACCCAGAGACAGTTTATTCAGTTGGTTTAAAAAAAAATTTTATTAACACAGTGGATACATTCAAGTGGTGGGTTGGGACTAGGGGTCCGTTCTATGACAGTACATTTTCCACTCCCTGTGTGTGAAGGCTTGGCAGAGGATGTCTTGTGGGGTGGAGAATCAAGCTTCCCTTTCAAGAGGAAACAAATGTTCTTTTCACACAGCCACTCCTACTGTGGGAGCTGGCAGGGAGATGTGCAGTGCCAGATCAGCCTGACATGACTTGCACTTCTATTTCCTAGGAGGCTAGGAATTAGAAACTTGGCACCTAACCCACCAAGTGTAGAGCCCTGGCCATTCCTACCATTGGACAAGGTGGAGTGGCTTTCCTTAGACTGGAGATTTTAAGATACCAGTAAATAAGAACAGCAAACTGGCAAATTTTAAAGTTCATTATTATAGGGTGTGGGTGTGTTTGTTTTTTACTAACGGTGGATTTTTTATTTTTTTGCTTTAAGCATCACTGAGTAGCAGAGTATCTAAAGTAGGGGCCATGGCAGGAGACTATGGCCTACCAGATATTGTTGGATTTCATTGCCACCCGCCACCCCAGAAAAAGTCAGCTTGGCCAGTGGTCAGGGCTGATGGGAGCTGTAGTCTAGCAATGCTTAGAGAGCGGCAGGCTTTCTTGCCATCCCAGTCAGATGGGATTTCATATGCAAAGCATCTATATCTGTGGGGTAGAAGATTACTGATGGGGGGTGCCTTTGGAACTTGCATAGCCCCTATTCTGAAACAGCTGTTTTGGCTGCCAGTTCCTTTCCAGACCCAATTTGAGGTGTTTAAAATCTTAAAAGGTCCCAACTTTCGGAGAGACTGCCTCATTCCTTTCAGGTGATAAGATCAGCTGAAGTGGGGGGGCTCTCTTGGTAACTCCTTCGCCCTCAGACATTCACGGGGGGGGGGTGAAGTCCAGGAGAGGGCCTTCTCTGTGGCAGCCCCTAAGTTGTGGAACTCCCTCCCCACAGAGATGGGTGTGGCACCATCATTATACAGCTTTCATTGTATGCTTAAGGCATCTCGCTTTACCCTGACCTTGGACACCTGCTGGTGTGTGTTCTCAGCATGCATCCTATTCCTATGACCGTTTTAACTGCTTTTAATATTTACTTTTAAATTGTTGTAACCTACCCTGGAACTTGCGGATAAATGGCAGGTAAAAAAATTAATAAAAGATCAAAATGTAGGAAGCCACTTACACTAATTTTGCTTCAATGTTCTCTCCTCAATAATTTGTGCTATGTGACTATACTACATGGTGTGGTCTTTTCCTTTTACAGGCAATCCCCAATTTGTGTGGGGGTTGCAATTCTGGGCCCCCACGTGGGTCAGCGGTGTGTGTGTAAGCCTGCCCCACCCCGTTATGCCTTCTTACATCCCCACCCTACTGCGCCCCCTTTTCCAGCTGCTTCTGGGTTGTGGCGAAGCCTGTGTGAGCATGCATGGAACAAGTGTAAAATAGTTGTTGCATGTATTTTATTTTATTTCATTTTATTATCTACAGAGATGAAAGAACTAGACTTACTGTCCTTTGGTTGCTCCCTGATCAGGAAGAGCTTGAGGGTGGTATCTAGCCTTCTTGGTGATGGATGCACAACCTTATATAACTGAATCAGTTGACACATTTGTATCCCAGATTATGAAAGAGAAAGCTTGCAAGCAACTTCTACAGAACTGTTGAAGGGGAGCTTTTATTTTGTCCTGATTTTGGTTAAGTTAAATATGTATTGTTAGCTGGCTTCCTTGGATTTTTTTAAGAGTTTCATTGTGCTGGCATTTGCTAGTGCAACAATTTCTAGTGAGAGGGTCAGTGACATTTTAGTTCCTTCTCAGAACATCCTTGCTTCTTTGTACATGGTTTTTAAGTCCACATAGAAATATGCAAACTCCATCTCTTCTTGTTACTGTAGTAATAATAGTATTTTATTATTATTTCAGAACCAGAGCTCTTTTGTTACCTTTGGATCCCATTAATCTGGATCCATCCCATTGTTAACTGCATTTTTATCCTGCCTTTCCTCCAAGGAGCTCTGAGCTGCAGGCATGGATCTCCCCTTCCCCTTCCTCCCCTCAAAACAGCACAGCCTTCTGTGTAGGAAGCCTTAAACAAAGTCAGACCACAGGCCCATCTAGCTATATATTGTCCTCACTGACTGACAGCAGCTTGGAATGGTTCTCTCCAAGCCCTATCTAGGGATGTCAGGATCCCTCTGTGTGCAAAGCTGATGCCGTACCCCTGAGCTACAGTCCTACACTGTAGACAACCACAGTACCATGTGGGCATTTGGTGCCCAGGCCATGCAGGCTCAGGTGCATTGTTCCACTCAGTAATCACACTAGCGATGTGTGGAAGGGGGCTGGCATGACTATTAAACCAAAACAAAAACATTAAGGTTGGTTGCATGATGTGGGCTTGTCTTGGGAACAGTCAGGTCAGCAGCTGAATTTATGGCTTAAGCCCTTTACTTATTAGAGCACACACTGTCACAAGAAGATCTCTAGGTGTGGAGCAAACCAAATTAATTGGTTTATTCTCATCCTGGATTATCAATCAACCTCTCCCTGTCTGAAAATCTGTTGTGAAATTTAACTCTGTCTCCAACCTGAAAATGGCTCACAGCTCCTCTACTCTTCTGCTAGTCCCTAAAAAGCACAAGTCTGGGAGTTTTTCCACTTGTCCCAGGCTTTCTAGGCACAGGTCTGAGTGGTTTTGCCTTTCCCTTGCTGCTTTCTCCCAGGAAACCTGCGATTTAGTGCTAAATCATAACAAACAGCAACCCACAAAAGAAACCCAATTGCTGTTTGTTCCGATTCCACGCTAAACTGCAGGCTTTCCCAGAGGAAAATGGAAGTGTACATGAGCCCTCAGTATTGCCAAGTAAGCTTTGTATGTTGCAGTTACCATTATAGATGCTAAGGGTGAATTTGGTTTTCTGAATTCTCCTTAAGTAGCCAAAACAGCACCCCCCATGAACAGCAGCCTTAGGGGAAATGCAAGTTGGCAAAAGTACATTAAAAAAAATATTTATATAGGGCAAACCGAAAAGGGGGGAGGACTAGTGAATTTGGGAGGAGAACAGGAGGGGAATGGAGTATCTTGGGAGAAGGCATTGCTGGGTGTCCAGAATGCTGAAATGGAGTCATCCCCACTGGCAGGGGTAGAGGAGAAATTCAGTCTAGTTTGCATTTAAGGGCAAATCTACCTAACTTTTACTTCCCAAAATAAAATGCAAACAGAAACTCTGCTGTAATTTTAAAATTACCACGTCTCTGAATTTTGCAATGCAGTTCTCCAGGAAAGCAATATGTGCAAAAATGCATATATTTGTAAAAACAGACATATGTATATATAGGGAGAAATTAGCACTAAAATGCTTCTAAATTTTTATGAGAACTTTAAAAAAAAACCCTCTTGAACTGGAAATGTGGAGACCTGGAAAAATGAGAAACTAAAATCAACATTTGCCCATTGCTAACTGAGGTTCCCACTTGAGGATCATTAATTACATGTGGCAAAAGCATAGTATACAGTAAAGATTCATACTCCTGTTCTTTTAACCTGGTCACTTATACCCTAACAATCAATTGGCAGGGGAAAGCCTTTGTGAAGGAGAGCTTGAAGTGCATTGCAAATGGCATTACCTCAAAAGTGTTCCTCGCCATTCGGAGGTGCTCCACATTCCAGCGAATGATTTCTGAGGTGCAGGAGGAATGTTACAGCAAGCTGGACATCTGCGGCATTGCAAAAAAGAACCCAGAAGCGATCACAGAAGTCGTCCAGCTTCCAAACCACTTCTCAAACAGGTAGGCTTGTTTGTGCACTATAAAAGACATGAGTACACTTCTTGAAAAAGCATGTTCAAGTCATGGCCAGGGATGAGGGTTAACATAGCTGGGCACCTGCCACATGCCAGAGGTTCCACTGGCAAGAGTGGACTTGCTTTAGCGGTTGGCTCACTAGTCGGTGCATTGCTCATAGACCCTCCAAAAACTGGCGCTCACCCTGGTTCAAGTTGGGTTGATTGTGATGATAAAGTTTGGTGTGGAAAGAGGACCAGGTCCACCACTGGAGCTCCTGAAGGGAAAGGCAAGATGCAAATGTAGTAATGAACTAAAGCTGTTCCACAATAAGTTGAAGGATGTTCAGTGGCAGAGCATCTGCTGTGTATGCAGAGGCCCCAGACTCAACCCCCAGCATATCCAGGTAGGGCAAAGAAAAGAAATGCTGTCAATCAGGGTGAATGGCAGTGAGTTTTATGGACCAGTGCAGCTGTCATTCTGAAATGAAATGGCTGCAGCTCTTCACTGCTGTCTTGCTGACTTGGTGTAAGGCAACTTCCTGTGAACTCATGATCTTTATGTGATTGCCTTAATCCTGCTAAAATTGTGAGAATGTAGATAGGGAGGCAGCAATTTCTGCAGTGGGGGGAGTAAGAAGCCGCAGGGCCTCTTCCAACCTGCAGAGCTCAAGTGACTGAAAAGGGGGGCAGTCCTTCGTGCTGCTGGAAACAAAGCCAACAGAATTTCCCAGCTAGTAAATTGACACAAGTTTCCCCAAAGCAATCCTGCTTTCTCAGCTGTCCCCAACAGAAGCTAAGCATGAACTAGATGGCACTGCAGTCAAACAGGAGGTCATTAAAAGGTCAGGGCACCTTTTCCATGGTTAGTCTTGAATGGTATCTGAAATGGGAGAGAAAAGATTGGCATGTGGGTATGTGTACTAGGCTAAAACGTTTTTAAAAGACTCCTATTTCACAATTTGATCTCAAGCAAGGCCTTCTTTGCTGAACTGTTGCCTTGTATGATTTCAGACCTGGCTGCTCTACTGTACTGTCTGCTTCAGGAAGGGGGAAGGCTTGTTCCCTCCACAAGTTATTTGTTTCAAAGACTTACAGCCCTTATTTTTATCATTGCTGATACCATGGTGGGGTGCAGCATAAAACTGCCATTTGTTTAGTCGTTTAGTCGTGTCCGACTCTTCGTGACCCCATGGACCAGAGCACGCCAGGCACTCCTGTCTTCCACCGCCTCCCGCAGTTTGGTCAGGCTCATGTTTGTAGCTTCGAAAACACTATCCAACCATCTCATCCTCTGTTGTCCCCGTCTCCTTGTGCCCTCCATCTTTCCCAACATCAGGGTCTTTTCCAGGGAGTCTTCTCTTCTCATGAGGTGGCCAACGTATTGGAGCCTCAACTTCACGATCTGTCCTTCCAGTGAGCACTCAGGTCTGATTTCCTTAAGAATGGATGCGTTTGATCTTCTTGCAGTCCATGGGACTCTCAAGAGTCTCCTCCAGCACCATAATTCAAAAGCATCAATTCTTCGGCGATCAGCCTTCTTTATGGTCCAGCTCTCACTTCCATACATCACTACTGGGAAAACCATGGCTTTAACTATACGGACCTTTGTTGGTAAGGTGATGTCTCTACTTTTTAAGATGTTGTCTAGATTTGCCATCGCCTTTCTCCCAAGGAGCAGGCACCTTTAATTTCGTGACTGCTGTCACCATCTGCAGTGATCATAGAGCCCAAAAAAATGAAATCTCTCACTGCCTCCATTTCTTCCCCTTCTATTTGCCAGGAGGTGATGGGACCAGTGGCCATGATCTTCGTTTTTTTGATGTTGAGCTTCAGACCATATTTTGCGCTCTCCTCTTTCACCCTCATTAAAAGGTTCTTTAATTCCTCCTCACTTTCTGCCATCAAGGTTGTGTCATCTGCATATCTGAGGTTGTTGATATTTCTTCCAGCGATCTTAATTCCGGCTTGGGATTCACCCAGCCCAGCCTTTCGCATGATGAATTCTGCATATAAGTTAAATAAGCAGGGAGACAATATACAGCCTTGCCGCACTCCTTTCCCAATTTTGAACCAATCAGTTGTTCCATATCCAGTTCTAACTGTAGCTTCTTGTCCCACATAGAGATTTCTCAGGAGACAGATGAGGTGATCAGGCACTCCCATTTCTTTAAGAACTTGCCATAGTTTGCTGTGGTCGACACAGTCAAAGGCTTTTGCATAGTCAATGAAGCAGAAGTAGATGTCTTTCTGGAACTCTCTAGCTTTCTCCATAATCCAGTGCATGTTTGCAATTTGGTCTCTGGTTCCTCTGCCTCTTCTAAATCCAGCTTGCACTTCTGGGAGTTCTCGGTCCACATACTGCTTAAGCCTGCCTTGTAGAATTTTAAGCATAACCTTGCTAGTGTGTGAAATGAGTGCAATTGTGCGGTAGTTGGAGCATTCTTTGGCACTTCCCTTCTTTGGGATTGGGATGTAGACTGATCTTCTCCAATCCTCTGGCCACTGCTGAGTTTTCCAAATTTGCTGGCATATTGAGTGTAGCACCTTAACAGCATCATCTTTTAAAATTTTAAATAATTCAGCTGGAATATCATCACTTCCACTGGCCTTGTTATTAGCGATGCTTTCTAAGGCCCATTTGACTTCACTTTCCAGGATGTCTGGCTCAAGGTCAGCAACCACACTACCTGGGGTATACGAGACATCAATTTCTTTCTGGTATAGTTCCTCTGTGTATTCTTGCCACCTCTTCTTGATGTCTTCTGCTTCTGTTAGGTCCTTTCCACTTTTGTCTTTTATTATGGAAATCTTTGTACAAAATGTTCCTTTCATATCTCCAATTTTCTTGAACAGATCTCTGGTTTTTCCCATTCTATTGTTTTCCTCTATTTCTTTGCATTGCTCGTTTAAGAAGGCCTTCTTGTCTCTCCTTGCTATTTTTTGGAAATCTGCATTCAATTTCCTGTATCTTTCACTATCTCCCTCGCATTTTGCTTGCCTTCTCTCCCCCGCTATTTGTAAGGCCTCGTTGGACAGCCACTTTGCTTTCTTGCATTTCCTTTTCATTGGGATGGTTTTAGTTGCTGCCTCTTGTATAATGTTACGAGCCTCCATCCATAGTTCTTCAGGCACTCTGTCCACCAAATCTAAATCCTTAAATCTGTTCCTCACTTCCACTGTGTATTCATAAGGGATTTGACTTAGATTGTATCTTACCGGCCCAGTGGTTTTCCCTACTTTCTTCAGTTTAAGCTTGAATTTTGCTATAAGAAGCTGATGATCTGAGCCACAGTCAGCTCCAGGTCTTGTTTTTGCTGACTGTATAGAGCTTCTCCATCTTTGGCTGCAGAGAATATAATCAATCTGATTTCGATGCTGCCCATCTGGTGATGTCCATGTGTAGAGTCGTCTCTTGTGTTGTTGGAAAAGCGTGTTTGTGATGACCAGCTTGTTCTCTTGACAGAACTCTATTAGCCTTTGCCCTGCTTCGTTTTGAACTCCAAGGCCAAACTTGCCAGTTGTTCCTTCTATCTCTTGACTCCCTACTTTAGCATTCCAATCCCCTATTATGAGCAGAACATCCTTCTTTGGTGTCACTTCTATAAGGTCTTGTAAGTCTTCATAGAATTGGTCAATTTCAGTTTCTTCAGCACCAGTAGTTGGTGCATAAACTTTGATTACTGTGATGTTAAAAGGTCTGCCTTGGATTCGTATCGAGATCATTCTATCATTTTTGAGATTGCATCCCAGTACAGCTTTCACCACTCTTTTGTTGACTATGAGGGCCACTCCATTTCTTTTACGGGTTTCTTGTCCACAGTAGTAGATATGATAGTCATCCGAACTGAATTCGCCCATTCCCGTCCATTTTAGTTCACTGATGCCCAAGATGTCAATATTAATTCTTGCCATCTCATTTTTGACCACATCCAACTTACCCAGGTTCATGGTTCTTACATTCCAGGTCCCTATGCAATATTTTTCTTTACAGCATTGGACTTTCCTTTCGCTTCCATGCATATCCGCAACTGAGCGTCCTTTCGGCTTTGGCCCAGCCGCTTCATCAGCTCTGGATCTACTTGTACTTGTCCTCCGCTCTTCCCCAGTAGCATGTTGGACACCTTCCGACCTGAGGGGCTCATCTTCCAGCGTCATAACTTTTATATGCCTGTTGTCTTTGTCCATGGAGTTTTCTTGGCAGGGATACTGGAGTGGCTTGCCAGTTCCTGCTCCAGGTGGATCACGTTTGGTCAAAACTCTCCACTATGACCTGTCCATCTTGGGTGGCCCTGCACGGCATAGCTCATAGCTTCTCTGAGTTATTCAAGCCAGCAGGGGCCTCTAAACATGGCAGAGAAGTCTGAAACAGTCACTCATTTAGAAACCTGAAGGTCCTCGGACAGGAGTGAGGAACCTTTGGCCCTTCACATGAAGGGCCTTGGCTGTTGAATGTACTGGTTGGGGTTGATGGGTGTTGGAGTCCAATAGCACCTGGAGAGCCCAAAGTTGCTCACCTCTATTCTAGGTACACAGGTACATGTTTCCTTAATGCTGAAATGACAACAATGTCAGTTCCTTATACACCTGTACGGGGGCGGAAAAGATTCTCAGGCAAAAGGCTGCAGGCAAAAGCAGGTGGATCAACTAATATTCATTCTTGTACCCTTGTACAGCAGGCTAGTTTCTGCACACAGAAGTCACACACCCCTCTGTATCAGCCTTATCAGAGTCCAGGGGCACAATCCAGTCAGACAAACACTCAAGAAGGGTGTCAGGCAGGTCAAGTGCGGACTATGACCTGGGGATAAGGGGCATGGCCCAGGATGAATTCCAACGGCCAGTAGAGAGGTCCAGAAGGCTACACACACACACCCGACCTGAGGTAGCCCACCCCCTGCTGTAAGGCAAGGGAGGGTAGTGTATGACCTTCTAGAGCAGTGGTACTCAACCTTGGGTCCCCAGATGTTTTGGGCCTACAACTCCCATGATCCCTTGCTCACAGGA